CAACTTGTACAATATGCCATGCTTATCTTGATTTCACTAATAACTGCAGGACTTCAAGTCTTTGATATTTTTCGCCTCTGTGCGAGTGTTTACACCACTACTTTCAACCATCTGACTGGCCGTATGGCATGATAAAAATTGAATGGATTAAGGCTCTTTGTAGCCATGGCCATTTTTGAGAAAGCAATAGACTAGATTAGATTAGAACAGAAAAAACCAATTTATTGAGAGAATTTTAAAAATTTTGCAAACTATGTACATATGTACAGTTCTCACACAAAAATTTCGAATATACATACTATGTATGTAATGGTGGTGTGGTGTGGTGTATTTAATTATGGCAAAGCCCACTAGGGCTATCTGCCTAAGAGGAGGGATGCCTTTCGTGGAGGACTTTCTAAGGGAAACTGGCTCGTATACACGTTATACATGGGGAAAACCACGAAAACACCCATGCAGCCAGCCCGTTCGCGGGATTCGATGTATGTAATGTACAGCTCTCACATTAAAAGATTTTCGTGGGTACATAACTATATACGTTACGTACAGTATAGGCACGGGGAAATTTCAATTTTACATACTATGCACATTAAGTACAGTATTCGGCAGAATGTTGTGTTTTTAGAAAAAGTTCTTTGTCACCAGTCCGTTGGTATATGTCTTGTGTCGTGTATCCGTTGCGGCTTTATTCTGGTGTTTGTTGAGAGGTGCTTTCATTACTGGCGGCGGTGTTCAGCTCTGCACTCTCACTTCTTCCAGTCAGGTGGCCAACATAGATATTTCTGCTGTGGCGAATGACGTCGCTGACGCACAATGTGCGAAAGAGGCGGCCGTAAGATCGGGAACAGGCGATGCTGAGGAATTTGTCATTTGTCCGATCCCATGAGCCGAGTGCGCCGATGACAAACGGAACAATGGTGCAGTGACCATGATCTCTGGCAATGGTGGCGCGGAGCGCTTCGTATTTCTCGAGTTTCCGAGCTCTGGCTTCTGCAAAAGCACCCAGTTGGTTCTCAAATGGGATAGTGACATCAATAATGAAGAATTGCCCGTCTCTTTCTACTACAAGGTCAGGCCTGAGCCGTGAGTTGTCCAGAGCGCGATCGGTGGAAATGATCTTAAAATCCTTGGCACACATCTTAATAAGGCGGTCCACGATTGCATTATGCCTTTCTTTGTACATGGTGGAGTGGATCATACAATGGTCGAGCACATGGGGAAGAGTTTCCCTATCAGCTCCGCATCTTCGACATCTGGGGTCGGCGTTAGACCAGGGTTTTGCTCCGTTGAGGTTGACGAGGTTTAGCCGAGCCTTGTGCACAAATCTCCAGTCGCAGAAACGGGTGTAATTTCCAGTTTGTAGAAAGTGGGATGAGGCTTTGGAGGCAGCGACGCATTCCAGTGTCTTACCCTGATTAGAAAGGGCAGCAGGCGGTCATCTCGAGCAGACTTGCAGGATTTTCTAATGGAGGCAGCGATGTTACGACGATGTGCAGCAGTGGCAAAGAAATCTTCAGCTTCCAACACCGGGAGTCCATTTTGCACACCCCATTTAACGTGCATTCTCCTCGAAGCAGCTCGGGCGGCAGTCCAAACGTTTCCGAACCCATTGCTGCTTCTGCGAAAATCACCGTCATTGGTGCCAGAAAGAAAGGAGGCAATATCAGGGTCATCATCCTCTAGTTGGAGTCGGGAGCGGATGGTGTCACGAAGATCGTCCCAGGCCAAAGAACGCACCGCATCATCGCGTGAGGTGAGGAGCTTGAACGCTGTGTCGATGGCAAATATGTCAGCTTCCTCAGCTGCGATGGGAATGTTGATGGCTCCCGCTGGCAGGGCTTCCGTAGAGGTAGTCATTAGATGCCCGGTGCGGGAGATAGAGTGAATCTTTGAGAAGAGGTCGGAGGACGCAGGTCGAGTTTTTCCCAGTCACCTTTCTTCAGCTGAAGAAGTGCGCATGGCGAAAGTGAGGGACGGAAGGAGGAATGTTTTTATGGCGTCCAGTCTCTGCCATGGAGCAAGCTTAGAGGTGAGAATCCGTCGTCCATTTCCAATGAAGCGTTCAATGCTGAAGGGGGTGCCACACTCGCCCAAAAAACCGACTGGTTTTGCCTAGGAAATCCCACGTCTCTCCGTCATTCAGGTGACGAATGGGCTGGTTGTAGACAAAGAATTCTGTAGGACGTGTGCCAGCAGGTTGACGACCGGTCAGGTGAAGAGAGGCGCATTTTGAGCTGTTGATTTTGAGCGAAAGTTTACTGCAAGAAACTAGGAACTTCTCGATTAGGGACTGGAGCTGAGCGGCAGAAGGCGCAAGTAGGGCGACGTCATCAGCATACGCGAGGATGGTACCACAGTCAGCGGGGGCAGTGTTCCAAAGAATCGCATCCATCGTGATGATGAAGAGAAGACCACTGAGCGGATCACCTTGCAGGACACCAGCGTTGACCGGGATGGGGCAAGTGGTACCTTCATCAGTGACGAATTCAGTGGTGACATGTGTGTAGATGTTTTCGATGATTCTGCACAAGTCACTTCCTGCACCAAGAGAGGAGAGGGCAGCAATGATGGCGGAGTGAGGGACAGAACCGAAGGCATCAGCAACGTCCATCCAGGCAACGACAAGGTCCCTTTTCTGGGTTCTGGCGTCATTCATTTTCTTGTTGAGAATGAAGTTATTCTCCATCACTCCATCATATGGGCGGAAGCCTTTTTGTCCTGGGTGGAGAAGGTTGTTGGATTCCAGCCAGTCGGAGATTCTTGTGGCAAGCAGGCCAGCGAAGACTTTAGCAATGTTGCGGCATAAAGCGATGGGACGCCAGTTGGACGGGTCGGCTGGATCTCCTTTCTTGTAGATTAGAATACTTCTAGATGACTTCCAGGAGTGAGGTGTGGAGTGGAACCTAAGGCACGCGTTGAAGATTTTGGCCAGAACATGTCCTTCCGGGTCCAGCGATCGCCAATGGTTATAGGTAAGGCGATCTGGTCCAGGCGCCGTGTTCTCGAATCTTCTTAATCTTGAGATGACTTCAGCGTCAGAAAACGGTTCTAAGTTGACAGCAGGAAGGGCAGGGTTAGATGTTCTGAAATGCAAGATGGAGGGGTCGAAGGTGCCCTCGGTCCTGGCTGAGCGAAAGTGTTCTTCGAGACGTGAAGGATGAATGCTGCAGGTCCTGGAGTTTCCTGACATGATGAGCCGCGCTGCACGTCTTCGGTTCCTACGGTAGAGCTTTTGGACTGCATCGACGTTCACAGGCGCACGCTTGGAGTTGGGTTCAGAGGTAGAGAGTCTGCATTCTCCTTGGGCAAAGGCAACAATTTCGTCGAATGTGAGTTGGAATTGGTCCCAAGTGTCACTAGATGCTTCGCTGTTGAGGATGCTGTCCAGGACAGGTGAAAAGCGGGAGAGAGCAGTCGAGGAAGAGGGAGGCACTAGTGCAGGAGGAGAGGCACCGGAAGTCACTGGAGTATCTGAGGCCGGAGGAGAGCAATCAGCAGCATCTGGAGGGAGAGGCTGAACAGAGGCCGAAAGGGAGTGGATACTGTTGCTCGCATTGGCATTTTGGCGAAGAGTGGCAGATGCCGTACCAGAGGAAGGGGGCACAGCTCTGTCTCTGGCGTCTTGTCTTCGGTGGAACATCCGGTGATTATCCAGACCCTTTCCAAAGGGGAAGGATCTGTCACAACGCGGGCACTCATAGTTGTGCCCTGTCAGAACGTAATCAGAAGCAGAAGCGAGCAGAAGTCCATTCGCAAGGCAAGGATGCCTGGAAGGTGTACCTCCGATTGTCGCATTGCAGAGGAGGCACATATACAGGACGGACTGGATTTCGATGTTGTGGTTCGTGAGGAGATGTCTTTCCAGGGATTGTCGTTGTGCGGTCCATTTGCTACTGCTGAAAGCGAATCTGCATCCTGGCTCGGTGCAAGTGAAAAGAGATGGTACAGGGAAGAAAACGGAGAGAGTAGATTCGGTGCGGGTGGGCTGATGAGGAGATCCGATGGTGGAGGCGTCGACGGCGGAGGAGGTGCGAGCAGGAACAGGCGGACTCGTGTTGGTGACGGAGTCAGGCGTTGCGCTATCCTCGTTCTGTGTGCGGAGGAATCTAGGAGAGGGGCTCACATCAAATTCATCCCTATGGCAGGAGTCGGGATCACAGGTAGGGGTGACAGAGGTAGGATGAACATCCAGCGACACAGGAGGTGATTGACAGGATGTGTGAGAGCTAGAGCATGGAGAAACTGCAGAGGGAGCATCTTCTTGACTGACGGCAGGAACGGCGGCGTGCGGCATCTCGGAGGAAGCAGCAGGAGAAGAGGTAGGGCTGGAGTCGCGCTGTGCAGGACTGGAGCAGGCGGAGGTGACCAGTAGTGTGCAGGGCATGGAGACAGGCGGAACACTGGGCGGCAAAGCAGGATGGGAATGGCTAGCAGCAGCTTTGGAACGGGTGTGGTTGGCAACAGGAGAGATGCCAGTGGGCACGGAGGAAGAAGGTCGGGATACATCCTTGTCCTTTCTATGAAGTTTTCGGTCCGACTTGAAGCCTCTCCGGCTTTGGTAGCTCCGACCGCAGACCTCGCAGGAAAGAGGCAAAGGTGGAGGCTGCAGTGAGGCATCAGAAAGAGGCATCGACGCATAAGCAGGAGCGCAAGGAGGGACGTGGCGAGCAGCGACCTCAGCAAAGGAAGGCTTTAAAGCAGGATGCATGGCAGAAGGATGGTCAGACCGGACAAAGGGCGCATGACGGGCCTGGACCCTCTCAAGGAGGCAGAGGAGAGGACTAGTCGCTTCAGAGGAGCTGGCAGGCGGCATGGGCGTGATCTTGTCGTGCAGCGTCTGGGGGGAAGGAGCTGTGGTGCCAGTCGCAATGGAGGTAGCAGGAGCGTCTAGGGTGCTAGTTGAGTCACCGGAAGCAGCAAGAGCAGTCACAGTTCCACCGGGACATCTAGGGTGATCTGGAGTCACACGGGAGTCATCAGCAATTGGCAGCAGTCGAGGATCAGGATGGCGGAGATCTGGACCCGGGACTCCTCACAGCAGGTGGTGGGCGTGGTCTAGGTCGAGCTGCAAGGCATGGCGGGGAGCTCATCATTCGCAGAGTCCGAAAAGCTGAAAATAAATTTAAAAAAGAAAGCAAAGCAACAAGGATTCACTAAAAAGCTCAGTGGCAAGATCAAAGTGAGGCAGTGGGAGGAGCTTCAATTGGAGCTTTGGTGGACCTAAGAAAGGAAGAAAAGAGAAGAAAAAATAAAAATAAGGAAAATGAGGGAAAGAGCAAAAGAAAAGGAAGGAAAATAAGGAAAGAGCAGAAGAAGAGGAAGGAAATGTAGAGAAAGAGCAAAAGAAAAAGAAGGAAAAGTAGGGAGAGAGTAAGGCGGAAGCCACGCCCACCCAAAAGAGTGAGGTAGCGGAAAGGAAATTTCAGGCTTATCAAAACAGAAAAGACACCGTAACACGGAGTATTCTGAAATGAAAAGCGAGAAGGAATAGAAAAGAAAACCATTTCTCACTAGAAACGACCGTGAAACAGCCGAAGCAGTAAGAAAGGTGAAGAGAAAGTTAGGCCCCGCCCAGCACCGAAATATACTGCAAGCAGTATATTCAGTTAGACGGGAAAGAACCTGCTCGCTCACAGGTAACCTGCACGCTCACAGGTGAAAGGGCCCCATTGAACGCAAGTAAAGAACGTATTCGAACCATCAAGCGTCAATGGGAGAGAAAACGGGACCACCTTCAGGTCCACAGCGAGAAAAAGCATGTTAAAAAAAAAAAAAAGTCAGATTAAGCTGATAAGAACAGATACTACACTTTGATCTTAGCCAAAAGGCCGAGAAGCGATGCAGAATTCTGTGGCGTGATGAATTCACTTTCAATTTTTCATATTTCAAAAGTCCTGAGCATTCGTGCAGGGGGAGAAGGGGGTGCAGAAGACTCAGGTTAGCGAGTGCTGCTTGGGGGCTTTTTATGATATGTCGTTATTTCATCCTCCTCCTGTGTTACAAAAAAAGAGGTGTACAAGGATGACCAATTTCTGTCTAGTCAAGTGGATCATTTTGCGGTCCTTTCTAATGTTCCCATTCTGGAGGCGTCAGTCCCCTCCTCCTTGGGCGGGGCTAGTTTTAAAAAGCCAAGGACGTCAAAAGTTCATTTCATTCAAGATTCAATTGCAAATTTTATTCTTACTACAGCAAATGAACCACAATGCTGAAATATCCTCACAGATATTTCTACAATATCGCAATAACTTACAGTAGTTATATTGGACGTTTTACGGAAACGTTGGCCGGAACAAAATTCAAAGTAGAAAAAGTTAATCCGATCTCAACGCGAAATCGCTACAGTCAATAACAGCAGTAAGTAAACAACTGAATTCCGGTGTTTTCCTCCAGCTTTTATAAGCTTATGCACCATGCAACATAATATTCTCGTATTTTCTCAATTTTTTTTCAGATGGGAAAAGAGGACAATGAAATATTCATGAAAGTGTTCATTTCTCTGGAGTAGCTTCCTCCTCCGAAAAATCTCATTCTTCACTGCACGTGAATATAAAACAAATGTAATTACAAAGGCAATAAAAATAGCAAAACCAAAAATAAATAAATATTCCTGGAGGTATCGAATGCCCATGTTTGGGAAGAAATTATTTTTTGTGATTAAACAAATATTGAGACAGTAAAATTTATCAGCCAAAACTGCATTACATAATGCCAGAGTTTGATTGACACAAACTCGACATGCACAGTCCAGCACATGGTTTCCAACTCAGAGATACTCTCTCTCTCTTCAGTTCAAACGTTGCACTTGAAAACACAGAGTGAAATATTAGGAACTTAAAACAATTAAACAAACAGAAAAATTACAAAAAACACTTTACAAATTCATTTGTAATATGTACAATAAAACAGTACTTTTTAATTTACAATTAATGATTACTTTGTATTCTACACTTCCACACTAGTGGCGGGCAAGCCATCTCAAAACTCAGAATAAACTGCTTCCTGCATAGTGCAGCCATCTATTGGCATTTTCCCGTTTGTTAATATTAATGTGCCAACAAAATAAATGAATGAATGAATAAAAAACATAAATACAACAATCCTTAACAATAATTGTAGACCATTACAATTAGCTGGCGTTTAGAGAATCATACAGAGAATCACAAACAAAACATTAGGAAACAGACAGAAAAATCTTTGTTGCTGCAGTGTGCCTACAAACATTTTACACCCTTTTGAGAGTTATTTACAATAAAAAGGCTCGTGTGTTGAAAGAAGCAATGTGTATACGCGCGCTGTAGTGGGAAAGATCTGGCAAATGTGAATAGGAATTCTCTCAAACTTACATGAAATGAGACAAAAATGTTACTGCAAATGAAATTTGAGTGATATTTCGAGGCCGATCTTCCTTCAATCAGTCAGACAGAATGAGTAAGTTGTTAACAGTACGGGGAAAAAAATGTGGATTTTATGGGATTTCTGTAAATACGAATAAAAACTTCGTATTTACAGAAACCAGAACTTGACACTGAAAAGAACGAGGGTTAAACCCGAGGCTCCAGAATGTTCCCATTCCGAGGAAAAGAACGAGGGGCCCGAGCGAATATCAAGTTAAAAAAAAGGCAGGTCGCCGCACACTCGTACAAAGGTATGATGTTGTCAGACCTTCGGTTTTCTGAAATTTGAAGGGGCCATTTTAAAAGGACGTTTTCCTGAGGATGCAGTGGGTGAGTGAAGTTTCTGCTTTTTGGATATATTGTGGGCCGTATCCTGCAAGTAGTGCCATAGCAGGCCAACCCGTGGCGAGGGCGGAATAAATTCCTAACCACAAGCCTATCTGCAAAAATTAGTTTAATATCTTGACGTCATGTCGACGTCGTATCAGATATTAAGCTGATAAGAACAGAAAAAACTCTTTTATTTCGCAATGTTAGATGCCATTTTACATACATATTGGTGATACCATGGCTCATATACCAATAACGCACGCAGTGCGATTTTGGGGTAATATATGAGGAAGTTTGTGTTTGCATAAGATATTTACATGGTGTTTGTATTTACAGAAGATATTTACAATATTCCCATGGAATGTGTGCACGTACACTTTATCGCGATAGTATTTGCGTCTCGGGGTATGCGTAGTCCTGATAATTATGTAGACTTCATAGCTGAGTGGTGCCGATTTACTTATGCCCTAGAGTTGGTGTTAACCGTATCCACAGGTGTTTCGTTGCTTGTCTGCTGGCGTTCTGTATGTGGAATCTGTCGTTGGCCTGTTAGATGCTCGATGTAGATATCGCGTGTGCTGTGGATCGTGTCACTTACGATTAAGTGGCGCATCTGCTTCGCATATTTCTTGGGGCACAGTCTTCGGATTATCCTGTCATTCTTCGGAGCCCAAGATCCCAGTGCGCCAATCACAATGGTCTCAACCCGGACGTCAGCAAAGCGGGAGCGGAGGACGTTGACGACAGGAACGTATTTTTCCTCTTTTTCCCGGCGGGCTGCCTCAAACGCTGCTAGGCGGTTGTCGAATGGAACGGTGATATCAAGGATGAGTGCTGAGCTGTCTTGACCAGGACTAGATCTGGTTTCAGATTGGTGCCTGGGATACGCTGGTTCTCATACAAGGTGTCCCATCTGCCCGTCGCAACTTTTTTGATTCGTCTCGTGATGGCATTATGGCGGTCTTGATAGCTGCGGCTGTATCTCATGCAGTGACCAACAACATGGGGTAGCGTCTCCAGGTGGTGGTTACATCTCCGTCATCCTCTGTTAGCTGTGTCCGAACGTTTGTTTGCATTGAGTGGAACAATGTTAAGTCGAGCACGGTGAATAAATCGCCAATCTGCGAATCTGGTGTAGTCACCGGCCCGAAAGAAGTGGCATGCGATATGCGACATGCGACGGAGGACTTGGGCACCACCCCTCCACCATAGGTTAATTGGTGTAGCACCACGTCCACCTTTATCTAAAACAACCCTGAAGCCACACAAGGGCCCCACACCTGGCGCCCAAACCCAACGCCTAATTCACCCCGGTGGCGGTCCTACTGACCAAAAACTGCCCCCGGGAGTTCACTCCATCCTACCCCGGGCCCAGTATTTATTAAATCGTAGAATTAATATAAAGATGGCCTTACAAGGGCTACTCATATGATTACATGCATTTTCTGGTTTTACATACAGATTTTGCTTTCTGGCACATTATATTGCTTTCTAGTACATTATAATTCTGTTTGTTACATTGTTATTCGATTATTACATATGAGTGTCTGTAATTACTGATACATATAGTACAGTCATTGGATTTCTGTTTATTAGTTCGGTTCATGTGTTATAAGCTTTGAGATATTCATAGTGTCGTCCATCTTCGGGTTCCTGCTAAACTTATTTGCTGCAGTTTATATTCACATCCCTTATTTGCTGCAGTTTTATATTCATATCCTGTTGTGAACGTTTGCTTTTGCACTTGTAATGGTGCTTGCTATCAGTAGAAACGTATTTACATATTTACACCATTACATAACTTTCTTTCCACATTGAGGCAAGACTTGTAATGTTGCTTGCTAGACTGAGGAGGCTTAATTACATATTTGCACTATTTATGCTGAAATCAATTTGCGACGCACTCGATTAATACTTTTGCATCAATCATATTTACATACGCAGAGCATATTACATATTACAAGCGATGCTTATGAAATCTATTTACATATTTACATTCTTGAGTATTCTCTTTAAATACTAGATCTATAATCTTTACTGATACCATTGGGTCTTATGGTTGCATAAGATTCTTATATTAAGATGGGCCTATGTGCACTATATGCACATTTTCGAGTATACAGTGCACATTTTCGGGTACATATGTGATAATGCTGTGTGCCAGTAAATTGGAGTACACTTGAAAACACACACTTGATTAACACGCTTGCTTAATAAACACATTTGCACTGAGCATATTTACATGTATATAGCGTTGTACTTTGAGGGGGATGCACTGTACATTGCTTGCTTGCACCACTCTACATTTCTGTTTGCATTGCTTGTTGAAGGTATGACTCATGCACATTTATATAGTATTACTCGCGAGCTTATTATATTTATTTACATATTTACTTTCTTTATTTTGAGGATAACATACGCTTTATGTTACGGAGCTAAATTTGGCACAAATCCAGATTGAGTTCCGCTAATTTGTCCATTAATTGCACAATCTTTTTAATTAGGTGCCGTTGCTTAATCAGATATTTACAGAATGGCTGTCTGTTATTGGCTGGTAGTCTAATGTGGAGACCCTCAGTCAGCGGGCATGTCTCCAAGTAATGCTCTGGCGAGCCCGGTCCTCCACATGCGCACTGACTTGTATTGCAGAAACCACGTTTGTAGAAATAGTCAGGAAAGGGACCGTGCCCTGAGATAAACCTTGCGAGCTGCGTGTTTGCTATATTTCTGTCTGTGTCCACATAACCAAAGAAGTAATGGGTCCTCCTCACTGTGTTGCTCTCGTCCCATTCACATTGCCACTTCCCCATGGCTTTCAATCTCAGCGTACGCTTGAAGTAAGAACGCGGCCATGGTATAACTGTCTCTGCTATTGCTGTTTCTGTGGTGGCCTCCTTGGCAAGCTGATCTGCCATTTCATTCCCTTCATGGCCCACGTGTGCTTTTATCCATTCTAATGTAATCTTAAAATTTGGATTATTTCTAAGGGCCTTCTGTATCTCTTGAATAATTTCAGAGGGATGGTCGGGGTTCCAAATCGCATGTAATGTTGACAAGCTGTCAGTTTTTACTGTGGCCTGCCTGCATCTTATGGAATGTACATAGTGGATTGCTTGCAATATGGCCAAGGCTTCACTTTGGAAAACGCTGTTGTTTTGTCTGAGCCGGCCCTTCCATTTTTCAATGAGGATTTCCTGCCTCATGGCGGCGTAGGCACAGCCCACTTTCTCCTCCAACTTTGAGCCGTCCGTGTAAACTGTCAGGCCAAGTGGCTGGTTATTATCGTTAGGCTTTCCCGAGACGTATACCCCTCTTCCTTTAGCCGCTGGGGTACATCCAACGGGTTGCAGCTTTCCTCATACTCCTCAGGGGAGTAAATTTCTTCATCAAATGAGACCATTTTTTTTGAGTTGTAATACTTGCTGTCGTGCCGCCTCCTCCTCAGCACGGATGTGAAGAGGGAGTAAGCCTGCCAGCACATTAATGGCGTCGCTTGAAGTGGTGCGATAGGCCCGGGTAATACCCAATGCAAAGGGTCGTTGAATGGCATTAAGGTGTTTAACCTTTCTCCCTTGCATTGGGTAGGCCCATACTGCAGCAGCATACGTGACTATTCTTTCTACCACTGTGGAATACAGCACCTTTTGTATGTGGGGTTTCAGTCCCCATTTAAATCCATAGAACATCTTCATTTGTCGAGCTATTGCAGTTGTCCTTAGTTTAAGGCTTTGCACGTGGGAGGATCCAATTCATTTTTCGTCAAAAATTACGCCAAGATATCTGAGTTCTGACACTATCTTTATCCGCTCTCCATTAATTTTTATTGTGGGCCTGCGTACTAGGGAGCCTCCTTTTTTGGGGATGAGAAGAACTTTTGACTTTTGTTTTGCAATAATCAGTTTCAATTTATTGCACCGCTCTTGAAAGAGAGTACACACTTCGTTACAATTACGTTGCAATTCCCTTCGTGTTGAGCCCTTTACTATCAGGGCGGCGTCGACCGCATATGCGAAAATCCGGGTGTGTGCCGGCCATGGAGCAGTAAGCACTTCATTGAAAGTAAGATTCCAAAGGTGTGGCCCGGCGCACGACACCTGAGGACACCCTCTCGTCTGTGTCTTTTCAATAATGCCGGCATTGTGTACTGCTAAAAGTCTCCTGTCCTGCAAATAATTGCTTATCATTGCATAAACATTATTAGGACATTTAGATCTTCTCAGGGCTGATTTTATTGCCGGCCACCACAGCGTGTCGAAGGCGTTCTTAAGGTCAATACTGACCATCGCCGTGTGGTGGCCGCTATGTCTGTTTTCAAGAATTGCCTCTTTGATGTGACAAAGGGCATGCACTGTCGACGACCCAGTCCTAAAACCATATTGGTGATCACTGAGAAAATTTGTGACATGCAGATGGTGGCGCAGTCTATTCATCAGAAGCTTTTCAAGTACCTTCCCCATCACCGAAAGAAGGCAGATGGGGCGGAATGAGGAGGCTTGCAAAAGATCACGATTCTTTTTTAAAAAACAGTATTACTTGGCCTATTTTATAAGGCATGGGGAAGAGTCCTATTGTGAAAAGCTTGTTAAAATACTTTTGAAAGAAGTTCGGATGGGTCTTGATTACAGTCTTTACTATTGCATAGTCCATCCCGTCGATTCCAGGGGCTTTCTTTCGGGGAAGACTGGCCAGTACTCTATGTAATTCCAGGGCTGTAAATTCAGGTTCTGTAACTGTTTCTAGTTGTTCTGCCTCTGCACGAAGAGCTGCCTGCTCGTCTGTCCTGGTCCTGAGTGTCCTGACTGAACACCGTGCCCATTATTTCTCTTTGTGTGTCGACCGTATACTCCGGGCTGCTATCTAGCGACGAGGGGATTTGCAGCTGTGACGGCTTAAAAACTTTCCCCATCGCTATCTTATGATGCAGGCCATATATTGCATTGATTGTGGAGCAAAACTCTCTCCATGATTGTACTTTCGCTTGTATGATCATTTTCTTATAGACCGCTCGCTCTATCCTGAAGATGACAAGTGTGTCTGACTCTACTAGTGCACGTCTCTCAGATTTTAGCTTTCGTCTGAGGGCCCTACATTTGCTCTGTTGTGTTCGCAAGGCACCGGTCCACCAGTGCAATTCCTGCAGTCTCTGTGGTTTCCTTTTTGGAAGGGTTTGGTCGCATGCCGCTTGCAGTGCATCCTGCAGCGTAAATGAGAAGGCCTCCAGCTCCTCCATTGTGCTCGCTTGTTCCAATCCTGATGATTCGAGATTCTCCAACTGCTGCTTCTGACTGTTCGTGTAAAGACTGGGAGCTTTCTCCCGGGGAGATTATAAACGCTTAATTTTAGTTATGGAAGTTCTTTGCTGCAGGGTGTAGGTTATGAACCTGTGGTCACTGAAGCTCTCCTGATCGACCACTTGCCAGTCTGCTAGTATTGAAGCTGCCTGAAGTGACGTGACTGTAAGGTCAGGCCAGCCCCTGAGCAAAGCCTCTATCAAATGAGGGTGGGGCATTTTCTGCATTATTAATTACTAGGTTCCTTGAACCGAGATGTCCTCAAGCTCCGCCCTTTGCGTCTGTGTCTCTATACCCCCAAGTGACGTTATGGGCATTATAGTCTCCGCCGAAGAGTAGATAGGGGACTTTTACTTTGTTGACTACATGTTCCATAAATCTCACTGTGGGTTCTATGTCGGAGGTTGGTGGCGAGTAGCAAGATGCAGCTGCTAGCATTAGGGACTGCACTTCTATTAGTATTGCAACGTTATCACGTTCAGCCTTTATGATTATCGGGGACCAGGCTGTCCGGCAACATACTATTATGGCTCTCGGCGCACTGTCCTTGTCTACTTTCTGATACACATTCCATTTCACCGGGAAACCTGCTGCCATACCTTCTCTTACATAAGGTTCTTGCCCCAATATTATGTCTTTATTCTTGGCTACTGCATACTGCACTGTCTGTGCTACAGAGGCTCTTGCTCGTTGCATGTTGATTTGCAGTATTCTTACTGGAGTTTCCTCCGTCACTGTCTCGTTGTTAATTCGTGCCTCTGCTGTTCCCTGATCTTTGCGGTCTGGCATCATTTGGTTGCCGCTGGTGTACTCTTCAGTATTCTGTAGCTCCCCGGATTCGGACGACCTCCCTCTGGTAGATGAAGCATTCTGGGGCATATGCGGGGTGGTTGTAGTTGTATTTTGTTCCCATCCTGTGGTTTGCGTCTCCGCAATTAATACAGGATGGGTGCTTGGCTGTGCATTCTCTTGTGGCGTGGTTGCCAGCGCAGAAAAACCGCAGTAGACCTTTTTAGCTTTGCAAGAGTCCTGACTGTGGCCATACTGCTGGCAGCGATAGCACCTCCGTATTCCCAGGAACTCGGAGATGCCATGTGACTGCCAGGCAGTGAATATTCTTCTGATCTTTGTGGCAACTGCAAATCCTCCCGGTGTGCATTGTATAATCCACTTAACTTTGTGGGACCTTCTTTCTCGCAGGTGGAAGAGAGCTGTGTAGTTCTTCGTGGACACTCCTGCTGTGGCACTGAGTTCTGATATGAGTTCCTCAGGCTTAATGTTCTCTTCAACATTATGTATCGCGATTCTGGGCTGACGACGCTGTTTTCGTTGTATATCCAAGTCCAGATCTGTTTTCTGAAGGTGTTCTCTTAGCGTGTTTATTTCCTCCTCCGAGTTGCAATAGACTTCTAATCCCCCTTGCGGGCCTGGTTGTATTCTTTGGACAGCTATTGGAATCTTATCCAGAGGAGCCTTGTCTTATAGGACCTTTCGTAGCTCTCCTGGGGGCCTTTTGGTCTTTCGTTTTATGACCAAACTAGGTTTGCTGCTTTTACGTAAAACTTCTGCGAAGCTTGGCGGTGTATGTTGGACTGGCTGTAAAGGCACCTGGACGTCAGTTGACCGTTGCGTGGGAGGCGGGAGAGTATGAACAGCACTGCAACAGACGAAGGTGGACGTATTCGTGCCGACCTCTACTGCTGGTGGTTTTGGGCGGAATCCCGGACCTTCTAGAGCAATGCCTTGAAGGGTAGATAGTGTGTCCTTCAATCTGTCCCGCAGATTCTGAGGAAGTAAATAGCGGCCTCCTCGGTATGTATCTGTTATGGTGGGAATTTCCTTAGCAAGAACTTCGATCCGCTCTTGCGTGGTGAGGTCTGAGGCTAGCAGTTCTTCTGTATCTAGTGAAGCGGGATGGTTGTCTTCTGCCGGAATAACGGATGGACGCGTCATTTCACAGTTCAAGTACACTCCAAATGTTGCCGTTGAGAGCTTGACAAAATCAACTAAAAGAGCTTGCTTGCACTATGTCACACACAGATGGCCTAAACACTTATTACACTAATCGCTGTGGCACTGATGTGCACCAAAGCAATTGAGATGAAAAGTAGATTTCACTTAACACTTATCACACGTTGAAACTTGAAATCACGAAGTTAGCACTTTTAAGCACGAGGGTATTGATACTTTCACTGATTCACCTAAACACCTAACTTGTATCACAATCACATGTACTTCACAAATTCACTAGAAAATCACAATTAATCCGTAACTTCGGAAATAACCAGTCGATTTTCTCCAATTTAAGTTCGTCTTACTCCTCTGGATTTCAAACTGTCAGATCTGAAGAAACAACAGCGCTAATCCAATTAGATCAGTAGTTAGTTCTGATAATTACTTTCCACTATGGCAAGGTTCCTTTTGTTGTTGGCTGCTGTCCACTTCAATGGGGGTCGACGGACGTTCCCTTTTGTTAGCAGGACTTTCAAAGCTTCTTTGAATTCCAGTGGAGGCAATCCCCTTTGTATTCCAGTTTGAAAGGGAGTTGAAATCTCGTACTTCTGAAAGGTCAGGGGTGAAGTCTTCCTCGTGGTCGATAAATTAATAACTTTAAAAATTAATAGCTCCGCAACTAATTGAGAAGACTAGACCAGAAAATATCAGAACATAAGACCGATATGCACTTGTTCGTCTTGAAGAGATCTTTACGTGGGTATAAAAATTTTGCTGCGGCGGCTAGCGGCCACTTCTCCAACAGGGCTTGAAAGAATCCAATAGTGTTAACACAGTAGCACACAATGCAATTTCGGTAATTAATTAATAATTACCGAACCGTTGCTCGGACGTCTATAAAACTGGTTTCTTCTTAAACCGGAAGAAAAGATCTATCCAATGATATAACTTTTGTCACT